ATATATATATATATATATATATATATATATAAAACAAAAACGAAACTAATAAAAAAGACAAAAACAATATTACTAAACCTTTAAGGAATAGTTCACCCAAAAATGAAAATTTGTTGAAAATGTACTCACCCTCAGGCCTTCCAAGATGTAGTTTGTTTCTTCATTGGAAAAGATTTGGATAAATTTAGCGTTACATTACTTTCTCATCAATGGCTCCTCTGCAGTGAATGGGTGCCGTCAGAATAAAAGGACAAACAGCTGAAAAAATATCACAATAATCCACAGGAATCCATCTAATTATTCTACATCTTGTAAATTGTCAGCAAATTTAAATTTTTGGGTGAACTATTCCTTTAACTAAATTTAAAATGAAAACAGAATTTTTTTTTAATTTAATGTATATTAAAAAATAAATCTTACTGATACTAAAATAGCAGTGGTCCATGCAGCTTGCAGACACACATTACGTTCAGTTTTATGGGCATGGGAGCAGATGAGGACAGTTCACCGTGTTTGCTTTTTTTTGCAGTGCTGTTTGAGGAACTACAGAGTCTGGACATTTTCCTGGCAGAGCTCTATAAGTAGGTATCATCTGGGAACTCTTGCTCAGATGTTTGCACTGCCACCATCCAGTGCCCGTGCGTGCTCTCAGTCATGCACTCGCTTACCTGGAGAAGGACACATCCTGCTGTCTACAGCCAATTTGATGTGCAGATAAAGGGGCGCACATTCCTTTTTATTTTAAGACTGATGGTTCACGTCTTCTATTACTTTAACTCGTTCGACACTGTTCTCACCCACATCATTTTTCTCCATCTTTTCTTTCTTTCCACAGGCATTTGGACAGCAGCAGCAATGAGAGACCTGATATCAGCTCTCTTCAGAGGAGGATTAAGGTATATTTCTTGATAAATAGGAAAGTAGTGCACTGTGTACTGAGAATCTTGTCAGTGATGTCATGATACTGTGGGGGAAAAAAATTTGAATGTTTTCCACATTTTAAATTGGTGGGAAAAGTGCATGAAAGTTGGCCAAAACAGCACGGGAGAAATTCACATGGCTATTTCCATTTTTAAAAAAGGCGCATCTCGGCAACAAGACAGTTAAACTTCAGATACTTTGTAGAGCATGTGTATCAACCAAACAGAGCACGACAGAGAATATAATTACGATATTTTAAAATATTTATTTTGATGGAATATTTATTTTTGGATGCCAAATTTACTTTTAAAATTTACCTTATTTTATTTCAGTCCTATATTTAATGACACTAATGATATTTTAATATTTGGTGACGTAAATTTTTTTTTTTACCTGATTAATTGTAAAAATAATCAACAGATGTAATTACGCTACCGTTCAAAAGTTTGGGCTTGAGATTAAGATTTTTTTTTTTTTTAATTCTCATGTTCATCAAGGCTGCATTTATTTGTTTAAAAATAAAAATGCGTTAAAACAGTAATATAATGAAATTGTATTAAATTTTGAAATAACTTTTTTATTTTAATATATTGTAAAATGTTATTTATTCATGTGATGCAAAGCTGAATTTTCAGCATCATTACTCCAGTCTTCATTTATTTTTTCAGGACTCTTTGTTGATAAAATTAAAAAAAAAAAAAAAAGCATTTATTTGAAATGGAAATCTTTTGTAACAATTTAAATGTCTTTACTGTCACTTTTGATCAGTGTAATGCACATAGTCCTGAAGGAAAGAATAATTCCCATCACTTAATTCAAACTCAGTTTCGTGCTGTTTCTGTATTTCTGATTTTCTCAGAAAGTGACCCATGACATGGACATGTGCTATGGAATGATGGGAAGTCTGTTCCGCAGCGGTTCTCGTCAGACTCTCTTTGCCTCTCAAGTGATGCGTTATGCTGACCTGTACGCTGCGTCCTTCATCAATCTCCTGTACTACCCTTTCAGCTACCTGTTCAGAGCCGCCCACGTCCTGGTAAACTCAACAAACGCACTGTCTACAGTTGATACATTGGTCATAAAAGTCAGGGTACTTCAGTAACCTGTTTTGTCTGTGGTTTACATTTAGATGCCTCATGAGTCCACCGTGGAACACACTCATGTGGACATCAACGACACAGAGTCGCCCATGGCCACACGCAACCGTCACTCCATCGACTTCAGAGACCGTGAGTGCAAGAGACACCAGCTGACCCGCTCCATAAGCGAGATCAATCCTCCACACCTCTTCCCCCTGACGCCACAGGAGATCACGCACTGCCATGATGAGGATGACGATGAGGAGGAGGAGGAGGAGGAAGAGGAGGAAGAATAAGCCTGTGGCATTGCCGTTAACTGGATTTGGGTTTTTAGAGATGTGCCTGCGGTTTAAATAAGTATTATCATTGCATTCACACTCAGCCATAGGTTTTATAGAGATATAAGAGAGGATGTTTATTTCTTGCAAAGCGTATTACACATATTTTAGAGTTTAAGGTCTGATGAGAGTATGAAGCTAAAACTAGGTTTTGATAGTTCTAGCTTCTTATTTTTGAATGAGGTTTACAGATGGCATCACTTTAAAACATGGAAATGTTAATGGAGAAAAGATCCATTTAAACTGAATTACAGAATCAGTTACAATTGATATTTGCATGACATTGAGGGAGCAAATAACAGTTACTAGGTACGTCATTGACTTAAGCTTGAGGAAAATGCATGAACACTTATTTTGTGGCTCCATGAGGTATTAACTTGCCTTCAAAATTTGGATTAGAGCCATGTAGCATGCTGGGAAATGTCACACCAACAATGCAGCTTGCTCGGTATCTGTCTGACTGCCTGTTAAGTGCTGTAACATCGCCATCTTCTTTTCAAAACTGGACGTATGCAAATTGGTGGCATATTATTGGGTGAAAAATGGAACACATGCAACTGTTGCCATTTTATGCAGAGTGAGATACAGGGTTTCAGGTTACTAGATACTGAAGTGTAGTAATGGTTTGGGAGATGACGTCAACTCTGAAATCTCCCTGTATGCCTTATGCACTCGCCATGATCACTGTGTTAATATTAGACTGTGATTCTAGAGCTTAGATTCATTATTTACTATTTTTATATCCACTGATATAAAGGTTAATTCAACCAGATATATTGAAAACAAATCATTTTGTTTGAAGTAACTTTGTTTGATATTAGCGTAACGGTTAGTTTTTGGCAGTTGGCCGTGATTTAAGATTGAGAGCTGGTCTGAATGTTTGACACAAAGCCTTGTGGGTGACAGTGGACCAAAGGGAAGCTCGTCTATGCATCACGCTCTGTCATAATGAACATTTGTAATTCATACAGAAACAGTCAAGATCCTGAAATGTTGTTTTTGATTGACATGGTGCTCTGTTTAGCATCAGAAGTGGTTTTGTCTTTTGTTGTTGTTTTAAATCAAAAAGGGAATTTATGATGGGTCCATGTTGCTTTGGAACACCATACCATGTGCACTCATATATACTGTATTGGTTTATTTTGAACAGTGTTGTTGATTCTGCATCGGAGTTCAACCAAAGCCATCTTGCCAATGTAATATGTGAAGGGACGCTTTCATAACCAAAGACTGTTATTAGTGTCCTTCATTTAAATTCACTGATGCTGTTGAATATTATTGATTTTGTGACTGTGTGATAGTGATATAGTTGAGTTTGTGTTAACCTAATCAAACACCCCTCTACGTTTATTTTTAGATTTTTTCATTCAGGTTAAATATGCTGTATATTGAAGTGTAGTATGTATGTGATTCATCTGTACTTTTTATTGTTTGAAATCTCTGGATTTGTTTGATTTTTTGTTTTTAGCCCAAGGTCTGTGAATCCCTTTTTAAAATTGTTTCCTTTTACTATTGTTTCATCAACATGTTTTGCAGGATTTCTTTTGTTTGTATTAAGTTTATGTTGTGCTTTACTGTAAAACGAAATGTTATGACAATGTGGGAGGATTCGATCTTACTGTAGTTTTAATGTAGAAATAAATCAGAATGCTTTCAAGTCCGAAATATTTTCATTTTTATGTTTTCCATTGTTTGCTACGCAGGATTGGTTTTCAGTGCTTTGGCTTGTTGCCTATGAAGAGAATAAAGTTCCTGTCATGCAGCACCCCCTTGTGGTCCTTCAACAATAGCTGTCTTTGCATCTTCAAAAACCATCATGGAAAAGTTGTCCTCACTAGCCCTTGTATTATGCTTAACCTGGGAACTTTGTTTTTAATACTTATCGCACATTCAAAATAAATAAATTGCCAGCAAACTGGACATGCATGAAATGATAAAAATGTATGCCTGTGATGCAGCATGAGATTCTTCTGATAAATGCATCTGCCAAATGCATATATGTAAATACCCTAAAATTTTGTATGCACATTTCAAAACATATCAGTGTCGACAATTTGTGGCGATTTTCATTACCCTACATGAAAAAAACTAATCGGTTAACCAGTATTTCCATTAACTTAAAAATCTAAATGGCTCATAATAATATAATTTCATTCTATATTATACACCTGAACCAGCATTATATCTTTTACCTTCTGATCAATATTAGAAACCTTTATTCTGCTAGTTTACTTTCAGGATATTTTGTCCTACCTGTGAGCACATTAATTGGTCATGATTGTCCCTGCATAGCTGTTGCACTATTGCACTGAGAGGTTGCTACATAAACACTTGAGACGGGAATGTCCTGATATCCAGCGGCTTTACGCTTCTGGCAGAAGCATCTCAGGAGGTTCTGATAAAAAAACAAACAGTGAGCGGATAAAAACATCAGCCAGAGATTCGTTCCCCTTTTGTATCAAGAGCATTAATGTAATCTTGTCATGGTAAAACCAAATAAATACATTAATGCTGAATTATTTTCCTTTTTCATCTGTTTTAAATTCAATAAATCATCAAGTACCTCTTTTACAATCACATGAAACAGAGTCCTACATGAATAGCTTTTCTAAAAATAATAAGCTATAAGAGCAATAGTGGAATTGGAAGATGAGATATAAGTTACAGTGTACAGTAAGTTCCTGAAATAGTAGGTGTGTTCGTCTTGAAGCGGCGCTGCACAGACTGATCTGTGTTTGACATCAAAGTACCATGAGAGCAATTAGAGAGCAGACAGCTTCATATGCTTTCCAGTCGCTCTCGCAGTACTTTGATGTCATACAGTGATCGGTCTGCGCAGCGCCGCTTCAAGCCGAACACGTCTAGTGTCTTAGAGGTCCTAAATTCAGCTAGCAACTATCTGAAGAAAAGTAGTTGTGACATACAAAACGTTTCTTTAAAAATTAAGTTACGTGATTACAACAAAAGCTGAAAATCAAAAACATGTTAATTAAGAGTGGTCCGACGTACATAAAAATGGAACCAGTCATGAGACGTATACTCTATTCACCTTAAAATAGGTGACGCTGAACCTCAGCACAATCAGGATTGACGTAA